TAGTGTTGCAGATTCTTAAACATTAAATGCTGTTGTTTGGTTATACTTTAAAATGTATGTAACAGATATAAGATACACTGTAGGCACATATACATGTGTGCATTTACGGTGTAGTAACCAAAATTACTGCACAATATGGGCGTGTGTCTACACGTGCACATCCATACTGCACAATAAATATGGTGATTTATGCCAACTTGAGCATAAATTTGATACCTGCATCATGCAGGTAACGAATTTACACCTGATTAGTTAGTATGCAATAATGCACGTCTAGATGCCTTACAGCGCAGTAACACTGTGTGGACAGATTTAGGATTAACTTTAGCCCCAAGTTAGACCACACACAGAGTTAATGTGCTTTAATGCCTGTACATGTACAGCAGGCATTAAAGCACATTAATGCTTTAATGCCAACCTATTCCCACTCACTGCGCAGTAACTTACTGCACAGTAAGTTTACGCCAGCATAAATGCACGTGTAGATACATTCAGTATGTATGTGCATATTAATCAAGACCAGGTTACCAACATTATTATTTATTGAATGCATCATTTGGGAACTTGTACATCAAGATGTGCTAAATGCTGCAGTAACATAGGTAGAAACAGTCCCTGTCCCAAAGGACTGACCACATTCCCATCCCCCTCAAAAAAAAAATACACACTCTTGGAGAAAAGCAATACCATATTTTTTCACACAACACAGTCCCACAAATAAGATGCACACCTTTTTTTTCTGTCTTCATTCTGCCTTCCCCAAAACAAGTTTTCCAGAGTCATGGCTGCACAGAGCAATGACAGAGCCTAAGATTCAAAACACTCACCTTCCCTTTCATGCTTAAACAAGAGCTGAAACAGTAGCTACTGCTGAAGTTTGGTCACCATGGATGGATCTATTACCCCTAACACTGCTAAAAAGCATTCTGCAAGGCTATGAAATAGGAGAAGAGAGACCAGGATTAGCTAAAAGAGAACAAAAATGCAAGAAAAAAAAGTTAGCATGATTAGCAGAACATCAAGACCATTCAAAAGGAGTTATATGGCAAGCTATCAGCTGTTTCTTTGTATAGACTCAGTGGCCTAATGACAAAGGGCTGATTTATGGAGCCAGAAATTTTTGGTTCAAGTCCTACCTGTGTTGAAACTTTCAATTGATGGTGTAAATTAAAAAGGAGACATGATTGTTAACAATTGTAGTCTGAACAACGAGCCATTATAACAACTGGCTCTCTCAGATGCCTGAATAGAAATGCTACTACAGCTGCAAGCAGGAATCAAAGCTGGATGGTTGTATTCCTGGCAGAAAATCAGTCTCCCCTGTTAAGACATGTACCCTGATGATGGAGACTGATTTTTTTATGAAAAAGTATGTGAGGTATGTGAGTAAATACAATATCACCCCTATTTTACAGGCTGGAAATTGTTTGAAACAAAAATAAAGTGACTTACCTAAAGTTATACTGACTGTCTGCCTGATAGTCAAGAACTGAATTCTGATATGCTGAGCACTAGGCTTGTACGCTAACCATAAGCTCATTCTTCTTCTCAAAAATTGTAATATTCCTGAAAATAGCACCTGGCATGATATTTTAACAAATTGTCTTATATTCTTTCCCATCATCTCACTCTCTGCAGAAGCATGACACTGAAAATAAAATAAATATGAGGTATCGGAAGTTTTGATTACCTATCCAGTAACTCAGATTATCTAAGGAAAGTTGTTTCGCTCTCTCTCTCTCTTGAACTAGAACTAGAACTATTTTACTCATTTTAACTGATGTTCTGAATTTTTAGGAATGAAGTAACTGCTGGCTGTACCTCTGTACTATTTTCCATAGTAACTAAGAAGGACCTTCAGCATATGGGATAGTGTACATATTGAAACTAGATTCAGAAGATGAGACACAAAAGTGAGCCCAAAAAAACCAACAGAAATTCCTTGGCTGGTGATTCACAAAATATGATGGTGAAAGCTGGTGAATAGAACTCTGGATAGTAGTCCTTTCCCAATATATTTAAGTTTTGCTTAAACTACTTACACGTGAAAATTAAAAGTTTAGGCATTATTGACACTCCAAATGACAGAGATTCCAGTCCCTCATAACTTACAAGCCATAGAACTCATCTAAAATGAAAATAAAATATTTTATATCACAAAACAGCTTTGGAAGATTGATGACAGGTTTTCTGATAGATGTATTTTCCGATTGACAGACAGACAGACAGACACATGTGCATATATATTAGTAACTGCACATTAGTGATGAGTAAGTGAATCATTCTCAGTGAATATTGTCAGATATTGTCAGGAATTCAGCCTTATGGAATGTCAGATCATAATTTTCTCACATTTTGTTCACTGTTAAAATTATTTAACACCTTTCATTATGAATTTTATTTTCTCTGTGCTTTTCTTCCCCTGAAGCTTGATCAGGAACAGTTCTCTAAAAATATTAAATTCTTGATATTCAGTTTTGATTTTAAACTTTAATTCCAATGACTACTCGGACACAGGGTTCTAATGCTTTTTTTAAAAAAATATTTGCACCAGGTATGCTCAATTGCTCAACTGTTCCCAGAAAACAGATATAAATGAATCATGAATTTGGCTGAATTAAATTCATTTAAATTTTTTAGCTCTCCACTTGAAGGAAAAAAAATTGCAAGAATTGCCTAACTCAAGCATACAGGGGCATGAATGCTCTACGTAACAGAAAAGGTAAGAATTTCTTCAGGTGATATCTTTTTTTGGGCCAACCATGTCATTGGGTAGATTAGACAAGATTTGAATACAAAAGATTCTTCTTCAGATTCAGACCATCCTGGCTACATAATACATTCATTTATGACCTGAAGAGAATGCTATAAGTATATGGGGAGTGGAGGGAAGGCTAGTTCAGGGTCGTATATTCTCAGCACCCATACAGCCTGAAAGTGTTTGGTATTTATATTGGACAACCAGGAACCAAACTGAATCTACCAACTCGTTCCAGTAGGCTTGTGGACCTCAAATTGTAACAACCACTAAACTATAATTGAAGTCTTAAGGGAGAGAAGAAAGCGTTATTTGGGTTTTAATTCTTTTATTACAAATTATCACAATAATATATAGAAAAGGAAGAATCTTACATGTGTAAGGAAGGCCTCATAATTACACAAGTCACAGAGCCAGATGGCTTCTCTGTACTTATGGTGAGAATTTTCAATGCCTACTATTTAAGGAGTAATTTTAAGGAGTATTTTTACAATTAAATTTTATTCAACCTGTGAGCTTGAGGTTGAAGACCTATAGGAGTTTCTTAATGAGCTACAGTTATTTTTTTCTCTAGTCCTGATTGGAATGACTATAAAGGTTCCCAATATATTTAATTCTTACCTGTTAGCAGTTGACATTGTCAAAAAAAACCTCTTTCACAGTTACATTCCAATAGTATGAAACACGCAAGGCATTTTGTGCTGCCTAGAGAAAAACAGAACCCAAGACTGGGTGCTTATATAAATACCCTTGTGACAAGTTCCATGCATTTGTTTTCCCTAAGCTTTGAGAGTCAGATTACCTTTTCACTTTTTCCAATTTTCCATCTTATTCACATTGGTATAAGTTAGTTCAGAGTTTAGACCCTATTCTTAAAGACTAGAATAAAACCTATTCTTTCGACTTTATATAACATCCTTGCTGCCAGAATCCCCATTTGCCCACGTTCTGTCAGACGTACTTAATGCATTAACTTGGAAACAGAATCTCAGCTCCTTCCTCTGGTACTTGGAGTGCCCAGCTTTGTGAGCCTGCAGTTAATTATGTTGTTGTTTATGGGTGCCACAAAGGAAAACTCTGATGGCACAGTCTACTACACTAATGTTTTCTGCTTAACTGCACCTACTCCTTGCCCTTCAGGACTGAGAGTTATACAAATCCCTCCCACCCTCTTCCACCTAGGAAAGTCTCTCATCATGTAGGGACAGTGAAATGCTTCCAGATCATAGTAAAACTGAACAGGTCATTTTCTTGACAGAAAAAAAACTCCAAAAATGCAATAGAAGAAGTGTATTTGGGTCATCACAGCAGCTATCAACCTAAGGAAAAAGCATTACAAGGCAGCAAACAGGCTAAAACATGTATGTCTCCAGCTCATTTTCTCACGGTAGAAGACCTGTACAAGGCTATGAAAGGTTTGGATGAGATATACCAGAATGGCTGGGAGTGAGGAAAAGGGAAAACATGAGAGACAGAATGGATGAAAATGTAAATGAAGAAGAGGTAACAACCATCATTAGTAGGCTATACTGCATTCAACAGTATGAGTGCTTTCATGAAGATGGATTTCCAGGCTCCAAACAAGACATTACAGATATATCAAGGACAGGTTATGCCTGATATGAGAACCAATTTCAAGCAAAAATCCCAGGGAACAAAGGATCTGGAGTGGGGCACCTGTGTCAGGGCCCAAAGTGTGGATGAAAGGGGAAGGGACTAAGAAGAGGGGGAGGGGCAAATTAGAAAGAGTCAGCTATGTAAGAACAGTTCAATGATGGCTAACCTTTAGGTTGCAATATCTTTTCCCCCGTTCTCATTTTTATCTCTATGTTTAATCCTTTCCCTTCTACTCTGTTTTCATAGTCCTACATGGACTTAGTATCTCCCCCTCCTTTTTTTTATTTGTTCCCTTCAGCTGCTCCTATCTCTCCCACTGCAAATTCGTCCCCTCAACCACCACCTCACACACACACTTCCCTCAAATCCCTACTTGCTTCAGTTTTCTCTTCTCCTCTGGTACCTGTCCTATGGCTCTCCCTTCCTTTTCTTTACAAATTCAGTTTTGTCTCCTGTCCTCATTTTCCCCTTCCCTGGCTGCTCTGTTATTTCTAACTCCTACTTCTTTCCCCATTTTTATTCTCACAGTCAGGCTGCTCTTTAATTCTTCCTTTCTGCCTCCAGGATCTTTCTCTTTATTCTGCAACATTCAAACATTCACACCCAGCCACACAACTCCACTCAAACAACCCTGCCTCCCCATTGCCCCCACATATACCCCAGACTCCCCCATCCTCCTCACTCAACACATCTTTCCTGTGAAGTAGGGATAGAAAACATTTTCCCCACCATACAACAGGCTGCTTAAACGGAAGGCCTGGGCACCTGTGGAGAATCTGTTAGGTAGGGAAGATGGGGTTTGAAACTGAACAGCAAGTCGGAAACTCCAACTCCCAAGTAATCCTCTGACAGATCAAAATGTTGTAGCAATGCTGCCTAAGCCTGCTATTGCCCTTCTGATCACTAAGTGGGTGGGAAGATAGTTGGCACTTGCCTTGCATGGTTATCCTTTCCCCGTGCCCTAACAGAGTGGATTCTGTTACTTTCAGTAAGTCGGATCAGTGTGTTTGTATGAACATGCCCATACCTTAGAGATTTTTTTTAAAGAACAAAAATAGAATGAGCCAAATTCTACCCTCAGTTAAATTCTTATAAATTTGTATTAACTTCCCCAAATTGAGTGAAGCTATTCCAAATGTGGGTCCAGTCCCCCATAATGTCCACCCATCTACAGTCCCTTTTGACTTCAGTGTGCATTAAGAATACTAAGTAATGTGCAGCAAGTACCTAGCCCATGGAAGACACAAATAGGTAGATATGCATTTGGCATTAAAAATGCAATATAGCAAGAGCTGAAAGAGTGTAAAACATTCAAAGTAAACTTGTAATATATGGCATAAAAAGTAGGGAACTAAAGAGACAGATGAGTTCTTTCCTGAAAGTTTCATGATAGGCATTTTGAGTTGCAAATAGTGTAATTCATTGTAAAATTAGGTACCAATTACCATTTCTGTTTTCTTAGTTAATGTCTGAAATACACCCATGATCTACATGATAATGAGACCTTCCTAATTTTTCCATTACAGGTAATTTTTCCTGAGGCTTATAGAAGCAGTTTTTTGAGCTCTACTCTTAGAAACATAAGTGGACATTACAGTTTGTTGTATACTCCAACCTGCTCCACATGCAGCAGGTGCACGCTGTGGCTGTGTGGGGGTAACTAACAAAATCTCTTTCCCTAGGGCTCACCTGCCACGCCTTGACGTAATGGAAGAATAAGAAGTTAATTCCCCAATGAGATAGGTTGTAGTAAATCACTGCAGAAGCAGGATAAAAATGAATTGGTTTATTAGTGAATTCCCAGCAGGTTGTGGATAACCCCAGCTGTTATCACAATGCACAGTCTTTCTTTGCCCTCTACCACCCTGCAACCCACTTCCCTGAACCTGTTGGCTCACCTTCAGTCTCTCTCTCTCTCTCTATCTCTCTCCTTCCCTCACAGGTATCAGTGGATTCTTCCTCTGTGGGACCTTCTCTCCACCTGAGGATCAACTTGTTCAGTAGCTCCCCTCTCCCTCTCTCCTATTTGTTTCACTAGTTGCCATGGTTACTTTCACCTGGTCACCCTGTTTTATCAGCGACCCATTCCAGCACTGGGTTTGCCACTCCTGGCTTTCCCTGCTGACTCTCCTCACTCTACACCCCAGAGGGCAAAGAATAGCCCCCTGCCATGGACTTTAATAGTCACTGGCTCTTAATCAGGCAATATTCACTCCTGGTGTGTCTCCCCAACTGTGCCTACTAAGTAATTAACCTTGTCCTGTCCCTGACCTGACTCTCCCCGACACTCACAACTTCGTAGCACCAAAGAAACAGAGCTGTTCCTTGCCCAGTTAGACAAGCCATGTGAGGACAAATTACCCTCTTCCTGGGACTTAGCTTTGTTGTTAATTCACATAAAAGCAGATAAGCTAACTTTGAGAACTTCTTTACAGGACATCCAATTCATTCTGGTAGATGGATGCTCCCACCCCTTTGTATTTTATGGGCTCAGGGTAAACCTTTAGCAAAGACAGCTTCCTCATGAGTTCCAATTCCCGTTAAGAGGGTGGGTCAAGTAGAAAAGGTCCTGTGCATGGATCATAGATCCTAACATTTTGTTACAAGGGCCTTTATTTGTTTTATTTCAAAGTAGATGCTGACTAAGCTTACTTGTGCCCTTCAGATTCATGGCTTAATCTATCAAATGTAAATAGGCTACATTCAGTGACTTCAATATCAAGTGTTTCCCATACACTGAAGAACTACCTATCAACAGTGTTATTTTCCAGTCTTGGCACTTCCAGTCCTTAATTTATTAGATTTAGTCAATTAAGTGGGGACCATACCTCAATAATTAGGATTGTTTGAAATTCTATGTGGCATTTCCTTTCTGATTAGTACCTGCTTAATACCCTAGAAAGATAGACTGCAGTCCTTTGCATTCTAAAGATGAGGCTTTGTTGATGAAACAGAAAGCCAAGGTCCTAATCACTTCTACCCATTAAAGTTCCAAAAGTAGTGGGCCAGCTCTGCAGCCCCAACAACTGGCACAAGAAGCAAGGCGGGGTTCAAATTTTTATACAAAAAATCATAGGGGTTAGGGTCACAAGCCAAAGTGCCAGTGGGTGAAAGGTAAAGAAACATCAACACCATGGTAACATACACTCAGCTCTTTAATCCCCTCCACCCCCCTCCACACACATATCCCCAAATTAGACTTTACTCCCTACAACACTGAAACAGCAGTCTGCAGTTGCCCCCAAATCAGTCCAGCTCCTTCAATCCACAGTATTGGCTAACTGAGACAGTGAGATCTCCAACTCCACTGTGCACTCCTCTGTGTATGTCTGACCAGGTTCCATGTTCAGGCTGTTCTCTCTTTCCTTTACTCCAGTCTCAAATGTCTTCTTCCTCTTTTTCTTGCCCCCTCAGTCCCTGGGGGTTTCTGGAGTTGTAGTCCAAATTAACAAACATCATAACTCTGCAGACTTCCCCCTGGTTCCTCCTGCTGCTACACATATTACATTCACAATACAGTACATAGGTTAGTAAAGCTATCATGGCCAGATTTCAAAATTGATAACTACTTTCTATTGTACCTACTTCTATATAAGTATCTGTTGACACATAAGGGGAATTTAAAGCCAATTTTCAATCCCAGCCCTAAATCTCTATTATTTAACAGAATTGTCACAGAATATCCCAAAATAATATCCTGGTGGGTGAAATAATCCCCATATAACCAATACACAGTAGGCTATACATTTCACTGAGATCCCTTAGGATGAAAGACAATAGGGGTGAAATCTAGGTCCATGAAGAGAACCAACACCAAACTTATGTATCACTTCAGTCCATTTTAGGCCACACACAAACTTTGTACTGCTGCTTTTACTCAGGTGCATTTCAACCTTTCTCAATATAAAATATTCACACTTGATATATTTGTACCAGTTGCCAATGGCTGTAATGATGACTGGGTTCAATCAGTCTAGAGATCCTCTTTCTAAAGTAAATAAAAGTATACCTCAAATCTTCACTAAGCTACTTATGCTACTATTGTGGTGGAACAACTCCCCTTTCACTTTTGCAGACAACTTTTCCATTCAAGAATATGAAACAAGAAGTATCTTTTTATTTAAGGAATAAGAAAGACAATCAAAAGAAGTTTAAATTGCATGTATAAGAAGCTGAGAAACCTTGAATAGTGTGAGAGGAGTCTCTTCAACAATGCATTTCTATGTAGCTGTCCAGCTTATACAGTCCAGGGCTAAGTACAGACAGTCAAAAAGCTGGAGGCAGAATCTTTTTAAGCTTTGCAGCTTTCTTTAAACTGTGTAGATTGGGCCATTAAGAAACAAAATACAAGTTCACTCATCAGTTGGCAAGGCAGAAGTTCAATAGACTGGTTTAACCTAAATCCATTAAGTCTGATACTCCATCCATCCAGGTTTATTTTAAACCAGCTTCAGCCATTTTGAAACCAATCTATGTCCACTGCACTTCTGTTCTTCTCAGTGGCAATGCGTAGGGGGTGCACAGGGGTGCACATGCACCCCCTGAGAGCGCTGTTGCACCCCCTGATAGCCATGCTCACCGCTTAGGTGACAGGTGGGGGGGCAGGTGGGAGCAAGCACCAGCTGGGAAGCAGGGCCACCAGGTGAAGCGGCCACACTCCCAGGTGGTGCACAAGCACCAGCCGGGCAGCGGGCCACAAGCAGAAGCAGCCGCAGCCACTTCTAAAAGGTAAAGAAGTGGTCACTTTTTGGTGAATGAAATCAGTTGCAGGGGACTCCCCCGGCCATCAGTGTGATTGGCCACAGGCGGACCTCCCCCCCCAGTCACTGGGGGGGCACAAGCCCCCACTGACTCAAGAGGCACCAGTTGCCCATGGTTCTATTAGAGATTGAAACCCATTTCCAATCACTTATACAGGTTTATGTGTAGTGTCTGTCCTAAGCCCAGACTCCCCACAAATCCTACCCATTTGAAATCATACTCATGGCTCCAATTAAAATTGGAGTCAGGGAGCAGTAAGGTATGTCTGTCACCCACAAGTCTGCTGTGTTTGAGAAAGAATCACCCCACTAGATCACATTCCAGCATGTGGTTAGCTAGTCTAGGTGATGATAGCAGATGTGCTTCCACTAGCCAGGTCAGCTTCCACTACACGTGTGGTAGGGGCCCAGTCAGCTACACCAATGCAAATATACCAAGTACCTCCATCTCTAAGGTCCAACTTCACTTTACATTGGATATTAGATCTTCAGCTGGGGGAGATCCAGATCAAAACAGAACACTTAGATGAAGTCCACACTCTTTGTGTGGAGCTGACAGAGGTCTTCCTCTTTCCCTCTAGGGGCAGGCTGGCCACTTACACCAGGGTCATATCCTGCACTGTTCTTCTGCCTTTTTACAAGCACAGAAAGAACAAAATCTGTACATAAACAAATCCAACCAAGAAAAAAAACTCAATAGGTAGAATAAAGGGTAAGAAACATTGCCTTCCATGTATATAAATGATCTGGATTTCCCCCTTCTTTCCTATAAAGAAAGTACAGAATTCCATCCTTTTCAGTCTTCTGACCTCTAGAACTTCACAGTATTGCTCCATATTACTCTTTTAATAACCTGAAACACTGCATAGCTATCAAGACAGTAGGATACCAGGAGGCCACTACCTATCTCTGCCATCAACTTTCCTGAAATTCGAATATTATTCTCCTTAAAACACCCTCTTCAAATTGTTTGCTTTGCCAATAAAAACTGTAAAACAAAAATCATAGAATTATAAAAATATAAGGTTGGGAGGGACCTCAGAAAGTGTAATAAAAATTGGTAAGTGTACAAAAGAGAAAAATCCTGGGGGAGTTTCAATTTTATTTTTTATTTTGGAGAGAGTTTATATAAAAATGTTTTATATTTTTCATGCTTTTATATTTATACATAATATATACAATATATAACATATTCTACATATATTCTCTTTTGTTATGATCAGGGATCTGGGTTTTCCATTAATCATAAAAATAAACATGGTAGAATGTGAATTTCCTAATTTTAAAGAGAAAAACCCAGATTTTATGTTTTTAAGGAGAAAAATGCAGATCTCCTTTAAAGAGAAAAATGTGGTAAATGGCAGGTTTCCCCTTGCAGGAGCTGTGGGGAGTGGAAGGATGGTGATCAGGCATGGGGTGCCACATATATGTGTGGGATTGAGACATGCATAGTGAGGGAGGGAGTTGGGCAGGGGTGGGGTTGGAGCTGCTACCCAACTGGGGTGCTGCATGGGGCCGGGGGGCTGGAATACATGGCCACAGGGCATGGGTGGGGAGCAGGACAGCTGTAAGTGGCTCATCTGGGGGTAGAGGGGGCCAGCACCCCACAATAGTGCACACTCCTGGGGGGTGGCATGGCGGGGGGACACCCCTCAGATTTGTGCATGGGGAATGGGTGGCTACAGTCTGGTGGCTGCAGGCTTGGGGCTCCCTGCCCTGCTACCCTCCCCCTTGGCTTCCACAGCCCAGCAGGTGGGACCCAGTGCAGTAGGGCAGAGTAGGGCAGGGAGGTTTGGTGCCACTGCCAGGAGCCCCACGCTGCAATAGCAAGGCACCCCCTGACCACCCAGCAGCAACAGGGGCAGCAGTACAGAGTTGTGCACCCCACTGCTGCTGGGTGGGCAGGGAGCACCTCGCCATGGTGACACGGGGCTCCAGGAAGTGGCACCAAGCCTCTCCACCCCACCCCACTCTGCCCTCCCATGCCAAGTCCCACCCACTGGGCTGCAGAAGCCCTGGAGGGAAGGCAGCAGCCACCAGGGGAGGCCCTGAGGATAGGGCAGCACCCTACCAGAGTGGGGCCCATGGGAGATGGCAGATGCAGACTGGTATAGGCTGCCCTCCCCTATGGGCCCGACTCTAGCCATACCATCTAATGGGGGAGACGGACTCAGGTTCCATATTCCACTTCAGCCGTAGCAGCCACCACCTCCCACAGCCAGTAGTTAGGGCTTGGGCACTGCTGGGGGAGGCAGAGGGCTGCAGA